AAAGCCACCGGTGAAGGAAGGGACAGGGCAGCCCCACAGCAGATGACAGCGCTCGGTCCCGTGGCACTCGCCAGCTCTGCCCCCGGTGCCATACCGCCTGCAGGCTGATGAAGTAACGGTTCCGCTCTGCCTCGGGGTCGATGATACCCCCTTTCTCTTGCTGCCTCTTGAAAATTAAGCGCAGTTCCTCTTGGTGCTGCAGGGTCTTGGCGTCTGGCCGGTAGGGCTCCTGGGCAGCAGAAAGCAGGGCGGGATAAGGGCTATCTCAATGCTACGAACTCCCCCCAAGCCCTCCTTGGGTCACACAGCTCTTGGGCAACCTGCTTCCCTTTGCCACGTTTGACCAGGCCTAGAGATACAAAGTAAAATCCCTGGACAGAGGTAGAGCATGACCTGCTGTTCCTGCAGTGACTGCCTTTGGATGTGGTGCAGAACAGCTACAGTTGGGTCACTCTCCTGACCCTGATTATATCCCAGCAAATACAGGGAAATGCCCCGTGGCAGAATCACCTCTCCCCCAGCACATGTGCTCAACACTCAAGCCTATACCACAAATCCTGCTCTGTGTGGACGCACCAAAGAGTCAGAAGACACCCTGCTAGGTTTTGTAAACCGCGCTTTGGATGGGTCATCTGGGAGGACCTGAGAGCACACCTTTGTTCATCCCTTGCAGTGCCCCAGCTGAAGGAACCCCGTGAGTGGGCACAGCCGGGCAGGTGAGTCCCCGTCTCTTACCAGCGGGTGCTGTGGGGGTGGTGCTGCCTTCAGAGCGCAGAGATCGTAGACCAGGGTCTCCCGGCAGACAGGGCACTGTACGCCAGCCTCCTGGGGGGGCAAGTGGAGATGCTAAACCCTGTGACCCAGCTCCTGTGTTGCCAGGTAACCCCAGCCAGCACGTGGGAGGGGGTGGCGACCTTTGCTCTTCTGCCACGGCAGGGAAGCCCAGGCTGGAACCCGTGTGCTGGTTCCAGCAGCATGAAAGCAGCCTGATGTCTCAACGACTGCTACAGAAGGTGTCTCCACCACGAGGCAGGCTGGGATTTGTGTTCCAACAGCTGACCACTGTACAGACCACCTCTGTCACCATTAGCCTAGGATCTAGTTTCCTCCACTCCAAAGTGGAGCGTGTCATCTACGTGGCACCTCTTTGTGGGACGTCTTTGAAAGGGTTTTGCAGGAAGGAGCCTTTGACTTGTTACATACTCGGCTGTGCCATTTGCTCTGCAGCTGGCAACTGTTCCAACACCTGCTCAGGGAGGTTTTCTCACCCTGGAACACAGGTGATCATGTTTCTCCTACTACAAAGCCCTGCAGTTCAAGGGCTAGAGAAGGAGCTCTCTTTTCTAACTCCTTTGGTTCCACGAGTCCAAAAATGCAACTCCCCTTCCCCCTCACACAGCAGGCACCAACCCAGAGATCCAATAAACAAACTGCTAAAGCACTGAAAGCTCACAGGGTAGTTTTGGTTGGAAAAGGCCCTTGGAGATCACTTGGTCTAACCCCCGCTCCAGTTCTCAGTGTGGGCATGACGCTGACTGTGCTGTCAGGTCAGGGGAGGCCTCGCCCCATGCCCCAAAGTGCACGGCAGAGACGTCATGAGAGCCTGTTCAGGGAGCCAAGGGCCCCATACCTGTTTGGGGGATGGTGCCAGGTGCTGCTCTCTCTCCTCCTGCTGCATGAGGATCTCTTCCTCCATGTGCTGGGCATAGCGGGCCAGGCAGTGGGAGTGGAAGTAGTGGTAGCACTGGGTCTTTGTGAAGGCTTCTCTCTCCTGGCAGGGAGAAAGGGCAGCTTTAAAGTGCTTCTGAGCACAGGTTTGTCTAGGCACCTCAGCTGAGGTGGGCTGTCACTCCTATGTCAGTGCTGGCAGTGGGGGACTAGCACTACTGCTGGCAGAGCCACATAACTTCTTTAGGCTGACAGGGAGAGTAGCTTCTATCACCTCAGGAAGGTTCATGCTCAGCAGGATCACCCACAGACCAGGTGAGCAGGAGACTGCTGAGGCACACCCCAGTCCCAGGCTGATACCCCAAGCTTTGAGAACCAGGCTCCCTGTTCTCTTGCCTCACTTCCCAGTCAGGAGACAGATGCCTACCTGGAATCCATACAGACAGATCACACACTGGCCATGAGGGATGTTGTTGTCAGTGAGAATCTCCTTCCCCTTCTGCAGAAGCATTAAAACAAACATTTTGCTCACTGGCCTGCCCACAGGCTCAGGGCAGTTCCACCCTTGGGCAGTCAGGGACCAGTGTCCGTGGCTGATCTCCTCAAACGCTCACCTCAATCAGTTCATAGAGCACCTCTGTCCCCAGCCTGGCTTCAGCAACGCTTCTGAGGGTCTGGGAAATCCTACAGCAAAGCAGCAGAAACCCTTAACACAAATGTAGCCACACCTTTTCACCGTCCCACATACCTGTCACCCTGCCATGATGACAGGAGGAAGGAACAGAGCCTTCAGGCTTTGCCCGCAGCACAGGATGGGCACATGCGCACACACATGTTCACGTGCTCCCTACAGGTTGGTGTGCAGAAGCCTCTGTCCTCAAAGGACTTGTAGGAGCAGGTTTGCTGACTGCCTTGGCTCGAGCTCACCCAGCACCCTTCAGTTTCGGTGAATCTCAGGCTTTGCTTATCTGACGGCAGCCCCCGGGCAGGTCTGGTGGGAGCTGTGTCACTCCTGTGCTGCCAGCAGGTACCAGGGTCTCTGCGCACGCTCTGCTGCACCAAGGATGGGAGCACAAAGGCAACGACCAGGGACTCGGTTCAGTCCCACCTCTGTCCAAGCAGGACCAACAGCTTCAAAAGCCCAGGGGATTTAGATTACACTTCACGGAGACCACAGGGGAATAAGTGTAGGGTGGACCCCCTGGTGTCTGATGCGGCACCGGTGGTTCCCATGAGATTTAAGACACGGTGGCTTAGGGACCTGCATCCATCTGCTAGCTGGACATGGGGAGCCACGTGAAGCTGAGAGGAGGCTTTTCCACCAGGTCTGCTTCCCGGATCTGTAGGGGAAAGCATCGCCCTCTCCCCACCCTCTCCTCGCTCTCTCCCCATCCTCCTGGCACTCACTTTTGAATTTGCTCATCTGACAACCCCCGGGGGTTCCTGATGAAGATTTCCGGAGCTTTGTTGGGATACTAGGAAAGAAAAAAAGAAAAACACCCGAAGCACAACAAGGAAGGTAGAGAGGCCCGGGGCGGGGAGGAAGGGGGCGCAGGGGACCGGCCGCCTACCTGGGGGGGCACGGAGAGCACCAGGGTGAAGCAGACGTA